TCTGCGACAAAATTCTTGTGGTGACTGAGAAGTTCAACGAGACCGCCTGGGTAACTCCTGCAGGCATCAAGATTGGTTCGGTGCGTATGTGTGCGTGGGGTGTGTGCGCGGATAAGGAAGAGGGACCGTACCATGTACACGTACAGCGGGGTCAGTACAGGGTTCAGTTCAAGGAAGCAAGGGCACGCATTTTCCGTGCGTTCTTTGTAGTTTGCATTTTCTTTCCCGCCACGCGAGCGCACGTGCATGTGTTTCCGTGGCTGCCGCCATTTTCACTGCTGGGACGATTGGATAGATTGCGAGTGAGGGTTGCATCTGTGTACCTACGGGCCCACGGTGGTTCAGCAGCGCAGCCTTTCCTGTGCACTTTGGTTCGCTCGACGTCTTCGCAACACACAACCACCGCCCGCAGCTGCGTGCGCGTGATAATGCACGCAAGCATAGTACATGGATGGCCCTGGCCACTCCAATTAAGTATTTGCACGTGGCAATGCTCATTGACGACGACGTACGTGATGCATACACTGCAGGATCTGTCCCGTGTTATCGGCTACAGCCTTGGCTACAGGGATCCCTTGTACCTGGGGGCATGCGTCACGCCCAAGACAAAGGTAGGCAGCAGCAGCAACAGCAACCGCAGCAGCAGCAGCAGCAGCAACAGCAACCGCAGCAGCATGATGCGTGGGTGGGGATGCAGGTACTGCTGATGAATGACCGAGCATACAGAAGGCTACGTAGCTGGCTGGGGAACATAAACACAGCTGCTGTCAAAATAATAATGCCAACGAAGTGACGAACATAGCTTGCTTTAGATATCGATGTGGCTTGCGGTGTTTAGCTGTCTAGCTTAATAGTGATGATAGCTACATCCGTCGTACGTAGCGAGCCATGGCCCAAGGCTGTTACATATTGCCAAGCAGCTAGGTAGGTAGTAGTGGCAATAAAATCATCTCTCAAATGACGTCCTCCTGCTCGTATCCAAATGCAGATTGGAATGGTTAGCGCTTTCTGCTACCAGTTTGATCTGCGGTACAGCTACTGCGTTAACACGCTGGAGATTGGTATCTTTGGCACCATCACATTCCTCGGACCCTTCACAGATGTTCAGGTGGGTGGTGGTGCAAGCAAGGATGAGCGCGTACGTGCCGTCAGGACAGGACTGCCGTGTACATACTGCCGTGTACATACTGCTATATCAACTTGCGAGCTGACCAGGAACTAAGTTGATGCGCCGTTGATCCGCTAGATTTGGTTGGATGCTGGTGGTGAGTTGCCGAACCCAACGAATACATTCTGAAGTCGGATGGGGTGACGGATTAGGGTGCCCCTCTAGCAGGGGAGAGCAGGGACTGCCCCGGGAAAGGGGGCCGCTGGCGAAGTTAACCACCCTGTAATAACATACATACTGCTGGCCTAGCTGCCTGCTGGTCGCCACAGCATGAGACGTCAGCGATATTTCGTGCGTGTGCTGCTGCACGTGCAGGATGCTTATTTCGAGAACGCCGTCACCGGTGGCACGGGCATCTACAGGGGCGCTGAGGGCGTAGTGAAAGTGAAGGTGCTGAAGCAGGGCGAGGTGTACGCATACAAGATCGTGCTTGAGGACGAGCCCAAGTGCTATGACAAGTAATAAATACTCTTAATAATTAGGAATGAAGAACTGTTGGAAGAACATGGTTTATCTATCAACTCCGGATGGAAACGCCTGATTTGAGCTATCCATCTGATGAGAATCGTTGTCCGACTGGTGAAGGGATTGCTGCCCGCCTGCTGCTCTGTTGTCGCCTGCACGCACGGACGTATGTACGCCGACGGTAACAGATGCGCGTGATCTATACAAATGTAGCTGTTATCGTCCGATCTGCATTTGGGTGCTGGGGCGGTGACTTCCAGTCACACAGACAATAGCCGAACATGCAAACTGAATGCATGTGCATGCAAGGGCTTGTCGCATGCACGTATGTATCGTTTGTTGCTACTTGCTTGCCGTACGTGGTAATATGTTTTCTGCCGATACTGCGCCCTGCCAGCTCTATCTCCCACGTAATCCATCCAGATACACATCCTCCGCGTATGCTTCACGTATGAAGCTTCATAGGGTATAAAGGGGTGCGGGCGTGTGTATGTGCGTGTGAGTGCCGACCGGAGCTTGGATAAGTGTCAGGCGGGCTCACGCCGGCCGTACAGTGGTAATAACCATCTGAGGAAGAAATCGCTACCTCTATCTGGCTGTGTAACAACGCTTACGGACGCAACTTACACCGCGCGAACCTCGGACGCAGCAATAGTGTTGAAAGGCGAAACGCCTGCAGCTGCCCAGCCACCACATGAATAGTAATTGCCAGAGCAGCAGGGCAGAGCATCAGTATGAGTCTCTCAGGTGCAGCTCCCAGCAGTGGATGGAAGGCAATGTACACGCAACAGTCGTTTGGAATTAGTTTGCTTCTCATTAGGGGAGAGGTTAAAACCACATGAGATAAACCCTTCAATCCACAATGATGATGATCTATGAGAAATCCTCTACCCATTTGAAATCTACTTTGATTTTTACGGCAGCAGTTGTAAATACTCTTCAGGCGTGTGCCCTACGACGGTAATGGTGCATAGATGACGGGTTCCGAGCTCTCAGGACATGTTCTCAGCAAGAAGCAGGATACTCAAAGCTCGCTATCACGCCCAAGCTACGTGTAATAGCGACCATATTGGTATTGCTGTCATTATTCAGACCTCGATATACGCCAATGTCATTGGTTGGATCGCACTACGTGTCGTAGTAAGTGCTATGCTGCAGCAGTATTATTCGGCGACAATATCGCCCAGCCACCCACCAGCCTTTTTGTTGGTGAAAAATATACCTAATTCAGAATGAATATGGTTCTGTCTTGAAAATTAAGAATAGATAATGTTCCGACGGTACAAGTTCATTGCTCCAGCCAACAAGCTGTGTCGGCTTGTCGCATGGAATGTAGCCCTGCCTGCGTTGTGTGCCCACATATATCTATCTGGGTACATATTGCGCATGCATGAGGTCACCGAAACATTAGAGGCGGGCATCTTCGGGTGCAGACTTCGTCTTTTATGGCGGAACGAGATGAAGCAGTAGTATACGGCACCCGGAGGACGTCGGGATTCCATGCTCGGCCAGCCCGGTCGATCGCCTCAGTGCTGCCAGGCGTGAATAGCTCGGTCTGTGATCGACAAGATTGGCTCGGCCGACCGACTTTGGCTCGGCTGGGTTAATGCTGTCGGCTAGTCTCGGACCGGCTATAGCTACAGTCTCGGGTCGGCTGATAACGTTGTACCTGCAGCACGCGATCGAGTATATAGAGTGATGTTTGACAAATTTCTGAGTACATCATCTTGTTCAATCAATACACTCGGCCCATTACACTTTCATATAATCAGGCCTTATTGTCCATTGGGACATCTGCACATCCCCACTTGTCGAGAACAACAAATCGACATGTCTCGCCACAGCAGCAGCGGTAGCAACACGACCTTGCTTGCTTTGGCGGCCCTGCTGCTGCTCACCGCTGGACCTGTCTTCGGCGGCGGAAAGGAACATGACCGCGAGAAGCCGCAGCACAAGCCCCCGCCGAAGCCTCCCAAGGAAATCTGCGACAAAATTCTTGTGGTGACTGAGAAGTTCAACGAGACCGCCTGGGTAACTCCTGCAGGCATCAAGATTGGTTCGGTGCGTATGTGTGCGTGGGGTGTGTGCGCGGATAAGGAAGAGGGACCGTACCATGTACACGTACAGCGGGGTCAGTACAGGGGTCAGTTCAAGGAAGCAAGGGCACGCATTTTCCGTGCGTTCTTTGTAGTTTGCATTTTCTTTCCCGCCACGCGAGCGCACATGCATGTGTTTCCGTGGCTGCCGCCATTTTCACTGCTGGGACGATTGGATAGATTGCGAGTGAGGGTTGCATCTGTGTACCTACGGGCCCACGGTGGTTCAGCAGCGCAGCCTTTCCTGTGCACTTTGGTTCGCTCGACGTCTTCGCAACACACAACCACCGCCCGCAGCTGCGTGCGCGTGATAATGCACGCAAGCATAGTACATGGATGGCCCTGGCCACTCCAATTAAGTATTTGCACGTGGCAATGCTCATTGACGACGACGTACGTGATGCATACACTGCAGGATCTGTCCCGTGTTATCGGCTACAGCCTTGGCTACAGGGATCCCTTGTACCTGGGGGCATGCGTCACGCCCAAGACAAAGGTAGGCAGCAGCAGCAGCAGCAGCAGCAACAGCAACCGCAGCAGCAGCAGCAGCAGCAACAGCAACCGCAGCAGCATGATGCGTGGGTGGGGATGCAGGTACTGCTGATGAATGACCGAGCATACAGAA